TTTTGAGATGGAGTCTCACTCTGTCGCCCAGGCTGGATGGAGTGCAGTGACTTGATCTTGGTTCACTGCAACCTCCACCTCCTGGGTTCAAGGAATTCTCCTGCCTCAGCCTCTGAGTAGCTGGGATTACAGGTGCCGACCACCACGCCCCACTAATTTTTTTGTATTTTTAGTAGAGACGAGGTTTCACCATGTTAGCCAGGCTGGTCTTGAACTCCTCACCTCAAGTGATCCACCTACCTCGGCCTCCCAAAGTACTGGAATTACAGGTATGAGTCACTATGCCCAGCCTAGTTGCACTATTTTAAATTCCCACCAACAGTGTACCAGGATTCCAATTTTTACCAAGGAACTAAACTTTCAACTACATTTCATTTTAATTTCAGTTTAAAATTTTTAAAAAGTTTTACATTGATACACAATGTTTTACACATTTATGGGGTACATGTGATATTTTGTCACATGGATAAAACGTGTAACGATTTCTTTTTTGTGTGTGTGATGGGGTCTGGCTCTGTCCCCTAGGCTCTGGGGTGCAGTGACATGGTCACAGTTCACTACAGCCTCAATCTCCTGGGCTCGGGTGATCCTCCCACCTCGGCCTCCTGCAGAGCTGGAATGATGGACATGCGCCACCACACCCTGCTAAGCTTTTAATTTTTTTGTAGAAATGGGGTCTCACTATGTTGCCCAGGCTGGTCTCGAACTCCTGGCTCAAGCGATCCTCCCACCGCAGCTTCCCAAAGTGCTGGGATTACAGGTGTGAGCCACTGCGCCTGACACAGTTCCAATGTTTACTAGCCACAGATGACTACCATCTCCCACACTAGACAGTGCAGGCATAGAGAATAAAAGCAGACCCCCTACAGGCCTTGGGGGGGTCTAATCCCTGCCAGTCTTGCTAAGTCCTTCTCCCAGGCTGGCCTCCTTTCTGCACCTCCCACCCACACACACCCAGGCTCAGCCCTACCTTAGGACCTTGTGTAAGCTGTTCTGGGTGGAGCATGCTGGTCCCTTGTCCCCTTGTGGCTCGCTCTTTTGTATCCTTCAGGTCCTTATACAGACCTTCCCTGACCTCCCCAGCAGAAGTTGCCCCTCCTTCTCCATTCAGGAGCTAACACGTTATCTCATTACATTTTCCTTATGGCACGGATCACTCTTGAAAATTATCCTGGGGCTGGGCATGGTGGCTCACACCTGTAATCCCAGCACTTTGGGAGGCCGAGGTGGGTGGATTACTTGAGGTCAGGAGTTCGAGACCAGCCTGGCCAACATGGTAAAACCCCGTCTCTACTAAAAATACAGAAATTAGCCAGGCATAGTGGCGGGCGCCTGTAATCCCAGCTACTCAGGAGGCTGAGGCACGAGAATCCCTTGAACCTGGGAGGTGGAGGTTGCAGTGAGCTGAGATCATGCCACTGCACTCCAACCTGGTTGACAGAGTGACACTCTGTCAAAAAAAAAAAAAAAAAAAAAAAAAAAACAAGAATTAGGAAGTTCTAACAGGGCCAAGCACAGTAGCTGATGCTTGTAATCCCAGCACTTTAAGAGGCTCAGGCGGGTGGATCACTTGAGGTCAGGAGTTCAAGACAACCAGCCTGATCAACATAGTGAAACCCGTCTCTACTAAAAATACAAAAATTATCTTTTTGGGTGTGGTGACGCTTGCCTGTAATCCCAGCTACTCGAAAGGCTTAGGCAGGAGAATCGCTTGAACCCAGGAGGAGGAGTTTGCAGTGAGTGAGTCAAGATTGTGCCACTGAACTCCAGCCTAGGTGACAGAGCGAGACTCCATCTCAAAAAAAAAAAAAGGCTGGGGGAGGGATTGTTAATAAGAGTCCCTTGCTTCCTTCTTAAGGCTGTTGCAAGAAATAAACAGGATAACGTTGGTAACACATCAGATTCTTTGATAGAGACATTTTTAGGCTTGATAGAAATTAATTACAGAGGGTATCTATAATTATCACAATTATCAACATCATTAACACTGATCTGTCTGTGGGAACCTGAGGGCTGAAATTCAATTGGAGGAAGCAATAGACAAGGCAGACAACAATTACCTAGGGCCCACAGAGTCCCAGCGCTCTGGCAAGGACACATACACAAGAGGAAAGGGCTTGTTTCCTGGGCTGGAGCCACTTCAGAGGGTCAGCCCTTTCATTCAAAAGAGGCGTCATCAATGGCCTAACACAAACCTCTCAAACACATAAGTCCTTCCGGCCCAGACAATGGGAAGAAAAATTATCCAACCATTGCAAACAAGGCCAGAGGCTGCCAGACTTTGTAATCCCGTGTTGGAGCCCTGTCTGACAGGCTCATCTGAGCTATTTCATTTTCCAGCACAGAAGTTGGTCAACTTTTTCTGTAAAGGGCCACAGGCGAATACTTGAGGCTCTGCAGGACATACGGTGTCGGTTGAAACTACTCAACTCTGCCATGATGGCATGATAGCAGCTATAGACATATGTACGTGAAGAGGCATGGCTGGGTCCAATAAAACTTTATTTATAAAAGCAAGTGATGGGCCAGATAGTTTATCAACCTGCGCTAGTTAAATGTACCTGTAATTGATTTTACTCTTTCTTTTTTTTTGAAATGGAGTCTCGCTCTGTAGTCCAGGCTGGAGTACAGTGGTGCAATCTCCGCTCACTGTAAACTCTGTGTCCCAGGTTCAAGCGATTCTCCTGCCTCAGCCTCCTGAGTAGCTGGGATTACAGGCACTCACCACCATGCCTGGATAATTTTTGTATTTTTAGTAGAGACGGGGTTTCACCACGTTGGCCAGTCTGGTCTTGAACTCCTGACCTCAAGTGATCTGCTCACCTTGGCCTCCCAAAGTGCTGGGATTATAGGCATGAACCACTACACCTGGCCGATTTTACTATTTCTATTAGGGACTAGACTCATGGAAATTAGTGCTAACTTACAGTCAGATATGCTGCAAATTATTTTCATCTCAGAGAAAAGATACTCTCAGCTG